ACCACGATCAAGGTCCAGAAACGTAGCAAGGAGATCGGTAAAATTATCCATGTGACTTCAGGGGTTCAACTATAATTTTACGACATTACGAGAATACTTTTTGTACGCAAAAATAACGTAAAAATAACCCCCTGGTAAACAGCGTAAGCCATTCTGTGTCAGCTGCGTCACGCGACACAGAATAGCTCACGCTGTTTGCGTTCAGTGGATATTCTCCAAAATAGCACCAGGGTGACGCGTAGGAGACATTGTTGAATAAAGTCGTTATTTTTGTTTTCTTTGCATGCAAAAAGTATTCTCGTAGCTTCGTAAAATTACAGTTGAACCCCTGATGTCACATGGATTATTTTACCGATCTCCTTGCTACGTTTCTGGACCTTGATCGTGGTAATTACATTGCTGTCTATGGGAGGGTCAGAGAGCTCTCAGAATTCATCAAAAATATCTTAATTTGTGTTCCGAAGATGAACAGAGGTCTTACCGGTTTAGAACGACATGAGGGTGAGTAATTAATGACAGAATTTTCATTTTTGGGTGAACTAACCCTTTTAAAAAATGGGTATTTATCGTTATTGTTGGGGATAAACTGACTGCAATTGGATTCAATACAATTAATCAAAAATCACTTTATGAAAAATAGAAAAGAATCAGATAAAATCAATAAACATTTAATATTATTAGTCCTCACACATTACAAAAAATAAATATTTTGTTTTCATAAACTGTGAATTTTATAAACAGTACTGTAACTATTTTTAAACATTTAAAAAAGAAGTGTGGAACAACACTTCTTCTGCATGCTTTACTGAAGTTCAAACAGTAGAGCATGTTGTTTGTACTGCCAAGGTCATGGGTTCGATTCTCAGCAAACTGAACATGCATGAACTAATAAAAAATGTATGCTTTCAATGCAGTCAAGTTTCTTTCAATAAAAGTGTCTGCAACATGCATAAATGTAAATAGAAATAGACTCTGAGGGTAGTTGAGAAACTTATTTCAAGTCTGTGCAGCTGCCTTTAACCATGTAAGTATGCGGGTCAAATTGACCGCAAACATAATAATTATAATATAAATTTTGTATGCATATTTCACAACAGGTCAGTGTGTCGACACTTTACAGGCATTATCATGACCCTAAATGAGAAAAGTCACAAAATGTCAAGGAGAAAACCATGATTTACCTAAAATTACAGACAACTCTAAAAATTGAAATACGTCAAACTGACATACAACCTAAAACAAGGGTTAATCTTGCCACAAAAACAAACAAAAATGCAATACTCTACATTATCTACCTTAAACAGTTCTGAATGCATGTCCTTAAAGTTTAATTCAGAGTTATCTCACAGCGCATTTGGTGTTACAAAGCCCAGAGGACTTGAATTACAAATCACTGTTTGGATTTTTCAGATGACATTAGTGTGTGTCTAGGTACTTATACGTCACTGTGGGTTTCTCCCTCCACCACTGATTGTGGAGGAGTGCTCCATAACCTTTGAACCTGAGGTGATCTTTGAAAAGAAAAAAGAGAAAAATATCTATATACACATCAATGGCCTTATACTGACAACAATGAAACAAACACAAAGGGAGTGTGAAAAGGGAATTCACCACTAATACTAAACGTACTGCACAAGAGAACCAGCAATAAACACTTCCTGCTGTGCAGTCATTCATAAAACACATTCATCATAAATGGGCCTGTGCAGCATTTTCTGAATGTGTAGGTCAAAGTTATTACCTCTTAGACATTTGGCAAAGCCAATTAAAAACTGATGAATGCTAAATAAACAAAAACTGTCACTGCAAATATGCTGACCAGAGGGAGGTAGATTTGTTAGTGGTGATGTCAGCACAAAGTAGTATTATGAAGAGTTTTAGCAAACACTATTTAAATATACACTAGACAGACGTGTTTGACCGTTGTGCTTGTGTCTTGCAACTTGTGCATGACACAGCATTTTACAAACATGACGCTAAAGTAAAAGTAGTTTAACTTTTAGTGAACACATTTTTTTTCTGTGTATATAGTATGTCCATTTCACTGCCCAAAAACACACTCTAAGTGAATCACACCTTAATGTACATTGAGACTTCTGATTGTTTAAAAACAATCTTAACAGTTGAGGATCATTTGTAATGTTGTCCAACAAAATATAACATATGACTGCTTTAAATTTTTTCTTTTTACAAAAACATCTGCAAACAGAATTCTTCAATACACAACTGTAAAGTGATACTTAGAGATGTCTAGGCTGAAAGCTTGCTTGATTGTCACGGATAGGATGTCTCAAATGGGCTTGTTTGGTCAAACATAAACAGCTGAAGAATATACTCGCTTGATCTAATATTGCAATAACTTAATTCTGATGTCAAGCAGTGAGTTTTTACAGTGAGCTACTTTAAGATTTATTTAGTTAGGGGTGTTCATCTGAGTGGCCTTTATGTGCGTTCCGCTATTTCCCTAGACCGCCACACCACTAGGGGACGTATCAATGACTCATGAGCATCAATAAGAAAAAACAGCCAGATAAACATCAAGAACCGAATGCAAAACATGTTTGGTTGGATTTCTGGAAATGGATAGAGTTGACTAAATTACTTCATTTGAACGATCCATCATATACTCATCGTGTCACGTTGCGCTACTGTGAGGAGTACGGAGACAAAGGAGTGAGGAGACGAGGAGTGGAATTCAAACATATAGATTTTAATAACATCCAATTCCGGACGTAGAAGAACAGAACGGGCTAGAACTCAAATAGGGTAGATAACGAGGGGCAGACAGGTGAGGAGGATAACTAATAAGAAGGAATACCTGGAAACAGGGACAGGAACAGGAAGGACCAAATAAGGGCAAGGAAGGCACAAGGGGAGCAAAAAACACTCAAAACAAGGAACAGAGTCTGACACATCGTCGTGATGTTCTAAACCTGTATGACAGTCGTTCAACCGTCAAATCACAACTTATACACACACACACATTTTTTAATCATCTGAGCCCCCTAATATTGAAATCCTAGAATTGTCCCTGGTCTCATGTCATACACTACCATTCAAAAAATTGGGTTTAGTATGATTCCTATTTCATTTAAATCCTATTCTTTTGAACTTTCTATTCATCAAAAAATCCTGAAAAACATATGTATAGCAGCATAACTGTTTTATAACATTAATAAAAATGTTTTATTAATGTTATAATAAAGCCTTGGTGACCTTGGTTGTCTACTGTTATTTTGTTCATACAGCTCATATCAGTTGATTTTTTTCCTAAAATTCTGTTGAAAAGAGTTAAGAAAGAGTTTTGCAACCAACTCTTTCTCCCTTTTGCTCCTGTGAATTGGTTTCTTAGCTGAAAGACTAAACAAAGACACAGGGTGAAACGGATGTTCCCACGACATCCTCACAGCTAAAATCCACTAGCTAAAAAAAAATAGGCTTTTTCCAGTGCTGTCTGTTTGTACCTGTTGATCTTATTCAATTACTTCTCAGCCATAATAACTGATACTGATGTGAAAGCAGGTACCAGACATTCTATTCTTTCTCAGAAAGGAGAGCTGGTCCCTGGCTCTATTGTGGGAATAAAACTTTGAGGCATTTTTTTCCCTCAAGCCCATTGTGAAACAAAAATAAAAGGTTTTAACTCAAAGGGATAGTTCACCCCAAAATGAAAATTTGATGTTTATCTGCTCTCATAGATTTTGTTACCGTTGCCATGCATTATACGACTGATAGACTGCAACGGCTGGAGTTAAAAATCTCTGTTTGTGTTCTACTGAAGAAACTAAGTCACCTACATCTTGGATGCCCTGGGGGTAAGCAGATAAACATCAAATTTTCATTTTTGGGTGAACTATCCCTTTAAGAAACAACAGCACAATGGCAAATAGATGTAGATGGATTTTTGAATAAAATAGAAATTGTATTAGATTTTTCTTATATGCACTATATAAAGACAAGAGAGACGTCACTGCTCTTACTTGATCTGGGCTACAACTTGGTCAAGACGATGGAAAAGATCATGGAAGAGGATGCAGCTAGACTTGCTGTTGATATCATGCCCATAGCTTCGCTTCCAGTACTGTTTCAGGTCACCAGCATACTCCATCACCTTAAAAGACAGAACACAGTGCTTTCAAACATCTACAGGTACTGGTACATATGACCTCTCATCGGTGTGCAACAATATTCAGAAAGACATTGTCATTATTAGAGTAGAATTCTGAATTTAAAATCTCAATTGGTCTAAAAATAAAAGTTTTTTCTCAAAACACACACTACCATTCAAAGGTTTGGGGTTGGTAAGATTTTTAAAAAAAACTTTTTTTTAAATGTAGTCTCTTATGCTTACCAAGGCTGCATGTATTTGCTCAAAAATACAGTGAAACAGTAATACTGTGAAATATTATTACAATTTAAAATAACTGTTTTATATTTTATTCTTGTGATGGCAAAGCTGAATTTTCAGCTGCCACTATTCCAGTCATCAGTGTCAAATGATCCTCAGAAATCATTCTAAAATGCTACGTTGGTGCTCAATAAACATTTCTTATTATTATCAATGCTGAAAACTGTTGTGTTGCTTAATATTTTTGTGGAAAACGTGATGAATAGAAAGTTCAGCACAGCATTAATTATAGGGTTTTTTTTTAAATAGGATTTTTTTTGTATAAAAGTAAAGGTGTTTACTATCACTTTTCATTAATTTATTAATTCTTAAGTTATAGGGCTCAGCAGTGAGAGCACTTCACTCGCATTTGCGACTAAAATAGATGTGTGCGAACTGGAAAATGTATTTAGGAGCAACTTACTCAGTAATTTCTTCAAATTACTTATGGATAAACAGCTATTCAGCCTCATATGATTATTGAACTTTAAAAAAGGCGTCGATTAAGCACAGATGAGAAGGCGGAACGAATGAAGGAGACGTGCTGAATGAAAGCGCACATTCGGCACTAGAGGGCGCTGACGGAGGCAGAAATGCAGCCGTTACCCCGGCAACCCTGTAAACAAAGCAGCTAGGCTGTTTTCTGTTTCAAACAGCCATTTAGATATTTATATTTGCTTTAGTCTTCACCATTGCACCAAATAATTAATACTTAAAGACTTAAGCTATTTATTTTCAAACGTAAACTTTTTTATTGCATTTTAATCTAACCTAAAACACGGCTTAGCTACCTATATATTGACTGAATCGTTATTATTGTTCGGTAACACTTAACAGGTTCCATTAACATTATTTAACTACATTAGTTAACATGAAATAACAATGACTGCATTAATTAATTTCAAATCATGTTAATTTCAACTTTTAATAATACAATATAAAATCAAAAGCTGTGTCTGCTAATATTATTTAATGGCACTAAAATGAACTAACAGTAAATAGTTGTATTTTTATTAATCAACGTTAACAAATAATATTCACTACTATAACAGTTATCTATTGCACATTGTTAGTTAATGTTAACCATCTTTAAATAAAGTTAACTAATGGGACCTTAAAGAGTTACCTATTATTATTTCGTTCATTTGAACTTTAATCTTTTGCGCTCTAATCTTGAAACACTTGTTTACTTTATATTTTTGTGTATTTTATTAAATAAAGTATTTCTTTAGTAAAATATCTTTAATAAAGTTATTTAACCTGTTAGGAGGAGAATAATTTTTTTTTACTTACTAAATTATATATTGTGATAAAACCATATACCGTGATAACAGCTTCAACGACTATTGTGAAAATTTGATACCATCACATACCTAATGTACATACAATAGGATTATTAATAATTACATAATCAGCCTATTAAATAGAGTCTGAAGCAAAATTATATAAAAACCTTGTGTACTTTCTGTATTCGGATAAATTAAATAATCGTGTTTCTAAAGGTCTCCTTATATCCCCTTATTAAGCTAAAACACATCATTTGAAAAATTTGCATTGTGCCCCTAAATTTTTATATATATACTATATTTAAGTATATATATATATACTATATGTAGGAAATGTTTTATTTCTTAAATAAAACCTCCCAGGAAAAGTAAAGATAGGCAAACAGAAGAACTGCGCTGTTTCAGTACCTGTGCATCTACCTCGTCAAACAACTGGCACCAGGGTGAGTTCAGATCATGGATAGTAAACTCATATGCACACAGAAAGAAAGCTGCTTCCACTGAATCTGTAAAGCAAAACAATGTGTCATTTGCTAACGCAATAGACAGTAGACCAAATTAGACAGTAAATTGTACACTTCTTTATGCAATGTTAATTCTTTGTTATGTCTGGATATTTGATAAAAATGTGTTTGTGTATATGACAATCTAATATTTTTGCACTTTCTCTAAGTTATTAAAAACAATAAACACTGCCATCTAATGGTCATACTAAAGACTGCAGTAGCTACAATATGCGAAATTCTTTCCCTCTCTCTATCTCTCACTCACTGTTTGTGCATTGATATACAACTGCTGACAGCAGCAGATCAAGTGAGCAGCCCTGACCTCTAAACTCTCTAAGTAAATCCTGCTTCATCAACTGTGGAATGGTTTTCTTGCTTTTGTGCTTCTCATTTCCAAATGTTCCCATCTTAATTCTATTGTTGAGAGTAAAAGCTACAGCAAACTGTCAAAATAAATTGAAGTATTTCATATGGAAACCCAGTGCTTCAATCTATTTCACCAAAATAAACTGAAATGATATGGATACTGTCCCACTATTTTTTAATTCAAGATGAAAATGTAAGTGCAAAATAGGAGAAGTATTTTAACCTCATAAATAAGCATACATATTTCGACAGGTCAAACAGAAAAGGTGCTGGAATTCAAAATAAAAAAAATCAAATCAATGTGTGTCTGTTTGCTGAAAACTTCTAACTTATCTAACCTATGGGACATATTAGTGCTGTGGTTGCAATGCATATGTAAAATTTTGAACTTTGGAAGCCCAGCCCGGTCAACCAATTCCGAGTTACGGACTTGGAATCTCTTAATCTTTTAGATTTCCAACCATTTTAGTTTGTAGATATGTTTTTAAATATATTTATAAATAACCTCAAGAATTTCTAATCCAATTTGAATGATGCTTTACATGCATCCTCACTGCACATAACTATTTGAAAAGGCAAACAATGGTTACTAGAAATATTTGCCTATGTTTCTGTCTTTAGGTTCTCATCTAAAAATGCTTATTTTACATGTCAGTCTCATATGCAATCGGGAAGGAAGTGTTTGTAATAATATTCGGATGTGCAAAGTTTTGTGGTTGTGGTTGCAAGGGCATTACATTTAGAGGGAACTGAATTTTGCCACATATTTTCTGAAATTGGTGGAAGTACAACAGCTCTTTCCATAAAACAAAACCAACATATCAAATTGAAGTGGTCTGCAAAGTTACGACACTCAAAGTTCAATGCAAAGGGAGATATTTTCTTTTAAAGTAATCGCTGTTAAGGACTACAAAAAAAGACTGGTAGGTACTACAACAAGCTTCTTCCCAGGTTTGTGACATCACTAAGCCCGATGTTTACATAAACCCTGCCCCCAGGAACATGCAACTACCCGTAATGGTAAGGGGGCGTGACGAACAAACCATTATCACACTTCTAAACTGCACAGCAACATTTTGGACACTGCTTTATTTCAGCATTTGTGACTGAGTAAAAAGGTCATGATCATATTAAGTCATCACTGACCATCGGTGATGCTGGCGTAAGGGACATCCAGCCTGTCAGCCATTTTCTCCATTACTCTTTTCATCTCAGGGCCTTCATTAAATCGTTTCACTTCCTCCAAGGCGCTCTTGTTGTTCTCCACTTCTTTCACAAACCGTTCGCACTGGTCAAAGTAACGCATTAAAGCGTCATTAACAGCAGGCTCCAACTCAACTAGAAAATGAAACAAATAAATACATTTAAAAAATAAAACATGATGAATTGACATTACAAATTTACAACCCTGGCACTACAACTCTTAAAACCAGACTTTATGTTGCTTTGTAATCTTATTGATCAGTTGGGGAAGT